ATGAAACCTAATTCATACACTCTCTTCCCCCCCCCCCCCCCCAAAATTAGAAATTTAAACTCACAAATCTCAGGTGCTTAAAAAAAAAAAAACTCACAAATCACTTTTCTTCACTATATTTGTCTTTGAAATCTTCTTTTCATTCTGTTAAGTTTTTTTTTCATTCTTCTTCTTTCTTTGATTATCTCCTTTTTCTCTTTAAATCATTTTTTTTTTCCATTTTTTTCCATTTTTTGTTCTTTGTTCTTTCGCGGTTTATGATTCATGAACATTTTTGATTCCTTCGACTTTAGTCTCTTTCTTTATTGTTCGTCGATTTCCATTTTTTTATTTATAATTTCTTCATTATATTAAACAAATGAGTTTACATAGTCTTGATGTAAAATGTTAGTAAGACAAATTGGAATATAGTTATGATAAACGTACTGTTGATGTTGAGGTACTGATTGCTTTGCCAAAATATCTGCAGCCTTATTTCCTTCTCTAGGGATGTAGGAGAAGTTGACCTCTTCAAATTTAGTCTTCCACCATTGTATTTCTCGTATCCAATTATAACCATCAACTAGATTTTGACCCGCGTTTGAAAAGCGCGGAAATTTTTTATGATTAAAAATTTATATAATTGAGTCTTGTCTTAATTTAAAGAATATTAATTAGTTTACCAAAATTTGTGGTGATAGTTGTTTTTCATTAGTTTTTAGTTTCAGTTTTTATTTTTAGATTTTGTTTTAAATTTTGGTTTTTGGTTTTTAGTTTTTAAGTTTCTATTTTTGATTTTCAGTTTTTGGTTTGGTTTTTTAATTTTTAGACCCGCTGAGTTAGTTTGAGCTGATATTACCAACAAACAAATCTCAATTAATCGAACATGTAATTTAAAACTGAAAAGATGACAAAATAATTTTCTAAAAATTTTGAAATAGTTTATTTGTAAATAAAAAAATCAAAAAATATAACCTGCGTTTTCAGCTTTAGGTTTTGGATTTTAGTTTTTAGATTTGGTTTTTGGTTTTGCTTTACATTTTTTTTTAAATCTGTAAATTATTTAAAAAAAAATAAAACAATAAATTATTTAAAAGTTACCATTAAAATCTATCAAGATAGAGTGATTGTTATTTAAAATAAAAAATATTAACATGTTTTAAAGTACATGATTTAAATAAGTGATTAATAATAGATAATTTTGTTTTGTTGAAAATATTAAATATTTTTGGGCTATTAACATGTTTTAAAGTACATGATTTAAATAAGTGATTAATAATAGATAATTTTGTTTTGTTGAAAATATTAAATATTTTTGGGCCTGAAAATAGTAATTGATTTTTGATCCATTAAGGTGGAAAGTTTATTTAATATTTTTTGGAGTTTTTCTTTAATACTAAGCCCAAAAACCAAAACAATTAAATGTCATAAAAACAAAAGTAAGCTCAAAACTCTATTCCATAAATAACCGCCGGTTTAATTTAAGTAATGCGGTTCAATCAACTATATAATTTGTAATATTTGTAACACTCTAGAAAGGGTCCAAATTTAAATGACAACTTATATCAGTAGATAAAAAGAATGACTCTATTTTAATAGAATAGAAGTGAAGTATTTTTTTATGTAGAATAATAATCATCTTCCTACAATCACTTTCAAACACAATCTTCTTATATCCGTTGGCCCAACAATTTTGCATACAAGCCTCGAATTCACTTTCCAATGCATTTTTGACTCTCCTCCCAATAGCTTGTCCTGCTCCTTTATAAACTCCATCCGAATCTCTTAATACCCATCCAATCTTACTTGGGGTCTCAGTAGTAACAAAAGAGCCATCTATATTGCATTTGTACCAATCGCCATTTGGTCTTCTCCATTCTTTCTGGGTAATGACATGTTGTTCCTGTAAGGGAGAATTGTGTTTCTCTTGATATTGTGAGCTGCCATGATTTCTCCATTCTGAAGCATCAGACCGGGCTTGTTGTAATAAGTTTCTTAAAGAAACATTTTTATGCTGGAATATAAGCAAATTTCTACTCTTCCATAACCTCCACATAATCCAAATAGGTAAATCCTGAAAATGGGTGAGCCTTGATGATGTCGTGATCTGCAAGCAAGCCGCAATCTTCTCTTCAAAGGTGGTTGATGAACTATTTATTATGGTGTTTGAGATACCTGAAGCTCTCCATACATTCCGGGCATAAGGGCATTCGAAGAAGATATGATTTTCAGATTCATCACCCATGCAGCATCGTCTACATTGAGAATCTCTAATAATATGCCTATACCGGAGATTGTTACCTGTAGGTAAAGCCTTAGAAGCATTCTCCAGAGAAAGTATTTTAGCTTAGCCGGTAGTTGTGTGTTTCCATATTTTATGCTTCATTGTCGCATCTCCATGAATAGGTAGACCATTTGCTTGTCCTGGTAGATGTGAACTCAACCAATACCCCGATTTAACTGTATAAATCCCATCCTCAGTATAACTCCATCCTAACAGATCAATCTGTGCCTTTGAACAGAGTTTTATCGCTAAAATATGATCAATATCTTGGGGATCAACTTCATCTTCAAGTTTTCTGATGTTCCAGCCATTCCTATCATTATTCATAAAAGAGGAAACCAACTCATTTGATACGTTTCCGTTTCTTGATCGAGGTGCTCGTGGAGGATGTTCAGGGAGCCAAGGGTCCAACCACATACGAGTAGTAGTTCCATTACCAACAACCACTCTGAGTCCTTTGACAATTAACTCTTTTCCAAAGAGAAATGATTTCCAAGCATATGAAGATTGCTTTTTTAGAGTCGCATTTAAGATGTTACCATCTGCGAAATACCTCGCTTTAAGAACCCGAGCCATAAGACATTGTGGTGCTTGCAATATACGCCAAACTTGCTTTGCCAAAAGAGCCTGATTAAAACATTCAATATCCCTGAATCCCAACCCACCTTCTCTTTTTGGTGTACAAACTCGTTTCCAAGCATACCAATGTAGTCCATCCTTATCTCCTGATCCCCACCAAAACTTTGCAAGAATCCTATTAATATTGTCACATGTCTCTTTTGGTAACCGGAACACATTCATGGTAAAAATTGGCATTGACATAGCTACAGCTCTAAGTATAACTTCTTTGCTCCCAGGAGATAGATATCTCTGCTTCCAACCTTGTGTAACAGCTTTTACTCTGTCTGTAATGTAGGCCAGCATATCACTTTTCTTGTTACCAAACTGCTCCGATAGTCCAAGATATTTGCCAATGCCTCCCACATTATGTATTTGAAGAATATTCCTCATCATTTTTTGTGTTACTGGATTAACTTTACTCCCAAAAGTTATCGAGGACTTCCTGAGATTAATTGCTTGACCCGAGACCTGCTCATAAAGACGAAGAATATGTTTCAACTTCATGGCTGATCTCTTGTTAGCTAGTGTGAAGAATAACGAGTCATCAGCAAATAATAAGTGATTGACTGCTGGTGCTTGCACTGCCACTTTAACTCCTAATAGGTTCCTCTCTTCCATCGCTTTGTTCATCAGATGAGATAAAGCTTCTGCACATAGGATGAAAAGATATGGTGATAATGGATCTCCCTGCCGAATTCCTCTCTTTGGTCTTATAAAACCTTCTGGTGAGCCATTGATCAATACCGAGAAGCTCACTGATTTCACACATGACATTATCCATTTAATCCATTTCATGTGGAATCCCATTCTCCTCATAATCTCCTCTAAAAAACTCCATTCTAGACGATCCTAAGCCTTCGTGATGTCTGTTTTGATCGCCATATAGGATTTAGCTTGTCTCTTACGTACCTTTAAACTGTGGAAAATCTCATGTGCAACAATAATATTGTCAGTTATCATACGTCCAGGTATGAATGCGGTATGATTCTCCGTGATTATGCCCCCTAGATGAGCCTTGAGTCTGTTGACCAATATTTTTGAGATCACCTTATATGAGATGTTGCAGAGAGCTATAGGCCTGAACTTTGACATATCGTTTGGTGGATATACCTTAGGTATTAAGCAGATATTTGTATGGTTAGTCTGCAAATCCATTTCCCCGCGCATAAAAAATGCTGTTACTTCTGCTAATACTTCAGGCTTAAGATCTTCCCAAAATTGACGATAGAAT